CTGAAGATTTGAAGTGACTCGGTGAAGGCAGCCACTCGCTCTCCAGCTTCTACAAGTGCTGTCGAGCTCTCAAACATGCATGGACCTTGGCCTTGTCCAAGTCCTCAAGCATTTTTTATTCGCCATCTGAAATTCTGGTTTCTGTAGCATGGTAGGGTCGATGCTGGTGCGTTTTCACTCCCAGAACTGAAATTCTGGGGTGACATCCTCTTCTGTCTCATTCTCACCTTCTGGCTCACGTGGTTCCAAGAACCTTGCTGGTATCTGAACTATCTCGCCTGCGTCCAGCCTTACCATTGCCATGTCCTCGCCCTCGAGCTCTTCATCATCCTCCATAGGCCTCCTATCAGGAAGTCTGATGCTGGCATTTTGTCTCTTGCTCCCACCCTCTAGTATGCGCTCTTCTGGATGTAGTCCCAGTAGAGCCAATCTCCTGGTTCAACCTCATCTGGATCCACGTAGCCTGAAGCTTTGATAAGCTCTCGATGGATTCGTTGCGCATATTGCCTGACCATTTGGATGCCTTCTTGGGATTCATGACCAATTAATTGCTCCAATCATCATGCCATTAATTCTCTGGCTGTCCTTGATTTCGATGATCTTGTCCTCAATCACTAGAAGCCGTCGCCGCAACTTGTAGATCGCCGCAACAATGTGAGAACGAACAACCCACTTGTCTCTGATCCAGCCTGCAAGTCTACTTCTGCTTCAACCCGTTCGCCAGCCACTTGCTCAAGGCTTCCAAGAACTATAATTCGATGCAAGAACTTGGCAAGTCTTTGGATCTTCCTCGACTGATGGTTTCCTCCTGAAATCGCTCGTGTTCCTCTTCTCCCAAGCGATGTCCCTGTGCATCATAGTTGCGGCGCCAACGCAAGATCAAATGGATTCTTGCTCTTGTCAGTGGCTTTGTTCCAAGGTCAGCAACATTGTAAGCTGTACGAACTGCTTTAACATTGAGCTCTCGCTGCGCAACTCGGTCCTGAATCCACAACCGTTTGCCATCATCAATGTGACGCAGCTTTCCGGGTACTCGCTTGTGGCTTAGCTGGATGGCTGCCGAATTGTCAACCAAACAGTCATGAACTATTTCTTCCTCGACAAGAAATTCCAGGCGCATTAAGCTCTGCCTCCGCTGAGCTCAAACTCACAGACTTCTGCCCCCTCGAACTGGTCAAGACAAACATTTCATTGATCATGCGAATGGCAGATGACGTGGATCTTCTGACACTCTTTGATCCTGACCAATCACTGTCAGGAATCTCCACTATGACATGTTGTCCCAATGTACCTTTGAGGTAGCCGATGAGTCTGCCAAGTTTTCTCATTCTTCGGTGGTAGGGTTTGCCATTGAATCTGCGAACTTGTTGATTGTAAAGGAAACATCTGGCCTTTCCTGTGAAAGATATATTCCACATCCCACTATCGATCAATACAGACTCGCCAGCTCTGGGCTCAAATATGTGGTTCCATCCTGTTCCAGCATCTCCTTTGTACACGGCGGCTTCTGCGCTTTCGCCTTGTCCATGACTTCTTCATAAGCCTCAATCATGGTTTCAGCATACTTCCCTGGCAGAATCTTCAAACCATCCGCGGTCATTTCAGGTTCTGCGCAAGAACTGAAAGGTGCTGCCGGGTGTAGTCAGGCGCTGGACTGAAATCTCAAAGCTCTCCTTCGTTGCAGGAAGTAGCTCCTTCTCAATGTATTGCTGTTCGTCTGTAAACAAGATATCATCCACATGTCTCAACAGCAATGCTTTGTGATCCAGCTTGCTCAAACATGGGTTGATCTCTGCAAATGCGAAGCCTTTCTCTTTCAGCCAATTCGTCAAATGATCAAACCAAGCTTTTGCTCCAATGCGCTGTCCTGGCAGGCTTCGTCTCACCTCAAAATGTCCACCAGCTGTTGTGACTTGCGTTGGCTCCTCCTGAGGTACCTGCCAAAAGGCGTCCTTGACATCGTCAAAAAAACTGCTGGAATCAACCTCAATGTCTGCCCACATCATCCCTCTTGGTGTTGTACTCCCTGGCCACCAACCTTGAATGTCTGAGGAACATCTTGGGTGATCCTGCTTTGGTAGGATTGGGCTTCACTCGCCAGTCTCTCACAAAGCGAGTTGTCAGCAACTTGTACCCATCTCGAAGTTGCTCCAATGGAGGTAGATAGCACACCAAGCCGCTTCAATCTCCACTCTCCCACGGCGTCAGCTAAATCATCGATCCACTTCGGAGGGTCACGTGGGACTCTGTCAAGAGGTGCATCTGGCCTAGGGTTTATGGGATGTCATGCTTGGCTTCCTCCACATTGTTTTCAGCCTCATGTTCATAAGCCCACAAATCCTCCTGGCCAACAACTTTGTCCAAATGATGGAAAATGTCGTCTCCAAGTTGGGTCACCTCGAGCCTCCTTTCTGTCGCATCATTGGGCTTCAACCGCTTCGACTCTGGTGATTCGGCTGCCAGATCATGAATAAGCTTGGTTGTTCCTTCAGGCTCTGGACTTCCACTCAGCAATGGGACCTTCTGTGCACTCGGTCTTGGAGTTGAAGGTCCTGCTTGGTTCCTGGCCTCAGCGATCCTGTTTGGATCAGCTTGCGCTGGAATCAACTCTGGAATGGCCTCTTCCTCATCCGGCCTCTTCTTGTCTTCTCGCAATTTCTCCTCCTCTGTCAACTCTGTGGGAATCTTTTTAGGCAAATCTTGGGCATCACTCGACTTGTTGACGTTCTTCTCCTCCTCCATCAAGCCTCGAGTCTCCTCCAATTTGCCAGCGTAGGTTTGGATAAAAGCTATCAGCTTCTGCGCCAGTACCGTCCATGGAGCTCCACTCCAAATACTCTTACCAACTTCAACCTCAAAAACCTTATTCTCTTCAAGGCCGTAGGACCGTCAGGTGCTCCACCAAGGTCAGGGCAATCTCAAGGGTGTGGGCAAAGTCCTGCCTATGGAGATCTTGATCAGCTTCGTGAAGAACCCTCTAGCAATGATTGCCACACTAGTTTATGGTGGCTAGGCGAGGGCGAGTGCGAAAGGGACAGGGGCAGAACGTGTTCGAAGATCGGGTCCAGTCCTCTGTCCGCTGGAGCTCAAGCCAAATTAAATGAATTTCTCAGAACACTTGAAGCCTGCAGCACAGTTCTCGATATGTACGCGTCATCCTTCAGTGACATCTGAACCTAGCTTAAATTCCACATTTTTCAAGTTTATGCTCTAAAAAACCTAAGAATGTCATGGTGAGGGGTAGCAAACATGCAAGAACTTCAATTTTTGAGCCGGCAAGTCTTACACAAGCGTCCACAGTCCAGTTACACTTCACCAACGCAAACACATCACACCCTCTTCAGCGCCTCGTTCAAATCTGCGATCCCTGGAGCATTCTCGCCAATGGGACTGTTACCATCACTGCTGCTGTCACTGCTGCTGCTACTGCTGCTGCTGCTCGTGCGGGCATCCTCCTTCTTCTCATTCTTTTGCTGTTTTTCAGCAACTTCATGGGTCTCAAAGTTGCTCAACTCACCCGCCGGATTGGTACTTCTGACCTTTTTGGAGCTTTTTGCATCCCTTTTCCGCTCCGAGCGCGCCCGCTTGGTTTTCACTTCGTCATGTCCAGACACAAACTTCGCGTAGGTCGATGGTTCTTCCTCCTTCCGGGCTTGTTCTTCGTGATCCTTCTTGCAGAATAAGACCTGTTTGCCCATAGAAGCCTTGAATTGCAAGTAGCCCTTCTCCTGGCAAAGTAGACAGGCCAGGCAGTTTATGTGCGATCGCTGTCGGAAAAAACATGTCGATAACAGATCAACAACGCCGGCGGCCAATCCTATGCACTGCGCAGTGATGCGCAGTGGATGATGGTATGATGATGGTTGACTGGGCCTGTACCAAACACAATGATAAACGTTGGCACACCCAAACTATAGCTGATAGTCATCTCGTCTATGTGCTCCGGCTGCTTCATTGACCAAATTTAGCAGCAGGTCTATGCAGGTCTCCTTCGGGTTTAGCTCAGTATAAGTCAGTATGTCCTTTCCTTATTCTTCTCGATTGTTACACCTTGGGGAAGGCCAGCTGCACAACTTTGAATGTACATGTCGCAACAGGGCTGGGTCTGAACCAACATATAACATCATATCGACTTGCGCTTCTACTTCACCCCAGTGTCTCTGAAGCACTAGGGTATTGTTCATGCGCCACGTCGCTCTGCTCCCTTTCGCCACCCCAGCCCCTATCATGCGACTTTTTCTGCAAGAAAAACACATCGCGACCACCATGGGGTGCAAAAGTGTGAAGAGTATGAGATGCTTTGGATATTCTTGGCCAAATGTGGTCAGAATTGTGGTGTCTGCCCACTAGGCCATTAGAATCACTAGGTGAATGTCTATGAATAAACACTTTGAGCCGGAAAACGCCGTCCTGGAGAATATTTGTTGCCACTTCTTGAATTCTCTTGGCCGTATTTGCACCGCAGCTGAAGAAGACCTTCGGGATTCAAGTCTTTGGTCTTTTGTGCGTCCAAACACCCGGTCAAAACCAAATGTTTGCCGCGCCTTGATAGAATCGTCCCCAGAATAAATGTTCCGAAGGCTAGCAAAGGAAGATTCTTTCAATCGCTGTTCAACCTCATTGACTAACTCCAGGGCAGACTCTTCGACGTCAGCATTGCTCGGGCGCGGCATGGTCAACTATACTTGACACCAGGTTGCCGTGGACATCACTGCAACTGGTGGCACTATGTAGCGCTATGTAGCACCAGAACACTGTTGTCTTTATCAAGTCGTTACTCGGACTGCGCCAAGAGGCAATCGCTCCGTCACCAGACTAGCACAGGCATTTCTGCTCGTAGCTCTTTCTGTTTGGTCCGATGTTCGGGGAGACAGATGAAAAGAAATAAACACGAAGAAACAAGTGCCACGCTAGTAGTAACAGGTGCCTTACTAGTAGTAACAATGTTTGCTACTAGTAACAAGTGCCACGCTAGTATAGTAACAAGAAACAAATTATGTGCTTTAAGGAACCTAAAAACGATGGCCTCCAACCTACGGTTCATCGCGAAGGGCATCCATACCACACGGTGGAGCAATGTAAGCGTCCATGCGGATGAGCCTAAACGGCTCATTCCGTCTTTTTCATTCTTGCATTCCATCTTGAAGATTGCGATTCCATGAAAGAAAGAATGAAGAAAACTGATATGAACTGCTTGGAAACGGTCATTGCTACAAAGTTGACTGTTTGACACAAAACAGCCGGAGAATATCCCCTGTAGAGGCGTGTAAATGTTCTAGTCCCTAGCTAGATATTGAGGTTCCATGGGCAACTCCGGAGGTGGTGGTGGATTGCTGTCGAACGTCTCTAATATCCGTTCACAGGTTTTGTACCGTTTCCTGTAAAGAATGATGCGGTTTATTTACTCTTTTCCTCCGCAAAATAATTCGTGACCATCTTAATTAATCTTTAGGTGCGGTTTTGACCATCTTGTTTTTGGCACTTGATTATCTCCACCACGCAACTCCAGAACAGTCTTTGCTGTCACTGCTTCCCTCCAAAAACTATCAACGCCATGAAGCAAATCACAAAAAATCTTGCCGAGAACCCAGTGTCCGCCAGTTTCTGTGCAATTTCAACTCTGCAAATGGTTTGTTTCATCGGAGGTTTCCTTTCTTTGTGACGGGTCGCTGCACTAAAGCACAACTGCTCGCCTTTGTGCTTGGACTCACCCATAACTACCCTTTAAGACTAGAACACAACAATCGCTCTTAGGTTGGAGGTTGCTGTTAGATCTTAAAGTCTAAAGAAGACCAGAATGATCTCATGTGAGAGGCATCGGACCTTCGTCTCCCTTGACCCACTTGGGTGTGGTTCAATGCCACATGTTACTACTAGCGTGGCACCTGTTACTGATCAAGAAAAATAAAGGCTTCCAGATTCGTATTTGCGGCGTCCGACAAAAGTAACGCTCTAACCATTCTTTCTCGCTCGAACGATCGCCTTGGGCGACAGAGTGGAACTTCAGCAATCTTCCTCATCCTCCTGCAGTTGTGCAACAAACTTCTAGGTGGAGGCCATCGCTAGTAGGTTGGAGGCCACTAGTACTAGTAGCAAGAAACCAGTAACAAGAAGCGCCCTCCAAAGTGTAAAGGAAGCAATGCGCAAAGCATCGCGCAGCGATGTGGTTGCGCCGATGTTTTTGTGCTCTGAATGCACAGCCTTGCTAGCATGGCGGCGCCCAGCACCAAAATGCCTGGTCCCAAATCTCAACCCACAAAAACCTGTAAATCATTGGAAATCAATGCACGTTGGAGAGAAAGACATCGAAAGCTACCAAAAATCTTCCACATCTTCCATTCAAGCCACTGCTGCAGTTGCAAGAGCTGCAGCCATGGCAGCTGCTGGAGAAGCAGCCAGGACTCTTGCTTGTCTTCTTCAGGCTCAGACATTGGCCTTGGGCTTCTCACAAACGGTACCAGTGCTCGTTTTGGGTGAAACATACATCGATGGATCCCACGAAGCCGAAAGCCGAAAGGATACGGAAGCACAACGTTGTGTAACGACTCATCTGAGAACATTTTTGTTTTATGTGCAACTATTGAAAAAACATAAGAGTCATACTGGGGGGGGACCCCCTAGGTGAGCTTAAGAGTAGTTGTTAAGTAGGCTGCCCGCAAGCCGGCACCCATTGGCACGTGTCTCGCAGCCTTCGCGCAGCACTTTTGCGCGTGCTCCACGCAGCTTTTTGGTTTTAAGTTTGTGCAACCGAGGCCTTCTAAATTTTATCTTCACTAACTTTGTTTTGCTTGCGTAGCTGTGAAACGTTGCGCTCAACCTGAAAAAAATTGCCAGCCCGGTTGAATAATCTTCTGCGCTGTAGCCGCTACACCACTCCAACCCAGAAATTGATGGGCGCAAAGGACCAGCGCATGAAAACCAAGTGTGCATGAGCGTGAGATTTAAATCTCTAATGTTGAAAAGTGCGCATGTGTAAAAAACGGAGAGGAGCCAGCAAACCCGAAAAACTTATATTGACATATTGACTCTTATGGGGGAAGTCTTTTGGGCGCTGCACGCTGACTGGAAAGAACCCCACTGAGATTGAGACTCACTGGGTTTGAACTCGTCTCCATCCTGTAACCAATTCACAACTTAGAGTCCAACTCAGAAGGCTCATGCAAACTTCTAACTCGTTGTCAACCAACGAACCATGAACACACAGTGTGTGACACAATGATATGCACCTGCCAAGCCTCCTCTGGTGAACATTCAAAGCGCTTGCCCACTAGCTCCTGGGAAAAATGAACACTTCGCGTTGCTTAGAGGTCTTTGAGGTCAAAGAGAAGCCTGCAGACACGACACAGCATCCCACGAAACAACAATCTCCAACAGGATCAACGTCGGCTTCGAAGACGTTCTTTGGAGCCAGCCATCCGTCGTCGGGGATGAAATGAAACGCTTTAGCCTCCGTTCCCTCCATGGTCAAGGAATACAAAGTGTTCAGACCCCTTGTTACTAGTAGCGTCCTTGTTACTAGTAAGGCACTTGTTATTAGAAGCGATGCACTTGTTACTAGTAGCTTCTTGTTACAGGAATACAAAGTGTTCAGACCCCTTCAGTGACTTTGGCTGGTTTTGTCACGGTGCGCTCCTATAGCACTGTGCTGCTAGGAACAGACTCTATGCCTGGTCCTCCATGATTTGTTACTTTTCAGCTGTGGCGCCGTCTGCAAAGCCTCCCTTTTCTAGTTCACATCATAGTAGGCTGGTTCCAACAAAGGGCATCGCTACTAGGAGCAAGGACGCTACTGGGCTCCTGTCCTTACTAGGAGCAAGGACGCTACTAGTAACAAGAAGCTAGCAGGCTGGTTCCAACATTGCCATTGTCGTTTCATGTTGTGACCTTCCATCTCAGCCAGTGGCTTTGGTGGAATCGACAGGTGCGCTGGTTTCAACGGGATCGGTTGTGCGTTCTTGCTTCGATTCGAACCTCGCGGATGTGGTTCTCGGCCTATTCGGTGCAGTCTTCGACCAGAGACACCATGCTTCGATAATCAAAATAACCCGAGAACGAGTAGTCACAAAGGAAATGACACAGAATAGTCACAAAAAGCGTCACAGGAGTCTCGGGTTCCTCCAAAGTACTCTTGTTGTCCTTGTAGCCAAGGAGAATCAAGCAAACCTTCGGCTGGCTTGAGAGAAAAACACGTTCCACTTGACAAATTCTAACACCGATCACATCACTAAACCACTTAATCACATTCTCTTTCTTCGCTTGTTTCACTTACGCAGCTTGGTTGCCAATGCCCCCAGGATGTAAAAGGCGCCAAGCCTCAAAGAATGCTGCGGCTAAAGGCACTCTCGGAACGGAGAACTTGCTTGGCTGTGCTCTTTTTTGGGGGGGGGCTAGAGGTAGCTAGGGAGTCGCTAGTAGGGAGAGGTAGGCAGTAGCAAACGTTGGCTCAGGATAGCGCTGCCACTAATGATTTAGTTTCTAGATTTTTAGGGAGACTTAACTGGTAGCGATGCCCTAGTTACTGCTTCTTGTTCCTAGTAGGATGGGGATCTACCCTTGCTCCAAACCAGCTGGTCACCTGAACCCTCTGCCACTGCCACATATCTTGATTCCCCAAACAAGCTGTGAGAGAAGCGGTTGTGCGTCAAGATGATTCTTTGTCTCCCTTTGTCTCCTCTTGTCTCCCGTGGCTCTTCATGGATGCTTGGGCTCAAATGATTCTGCTTTGTCTTTCTTTATCTTGTTTGTTTCTCATGGCTCAAAATTGGCGACCAAAACTTTCAAGGTTTTCTGCCAAAAGAAACATCGAGCTGCCGCCGCTGTTTGGGATTGATGCTAGGGTAACTTTGCCCTTCAAAGCCCCTTAACATATATTTTTTGAATGACATGTTCACCGGATCAGTGAGCATCACGCTTCACTTGGGCCCCAACTGCAGGGCCTTCCCCAGCTCTGCTGGCCAACCTGAAGAAATGAGCATCGCTTCTAGTAACAAGTGCCTTACTAGTAGTAACAAGAAGCTACTAGGAGCAAGGGCATTGCTATTAGGAGCAAGAAGCTACTAGGAAGGTAACCCGTCAACTCGTTCGCCGGTGGACTCCGTGCCGGGCCTTGGCCTACTCGTCCGTCGATCTCAGCAACTGCCTTGCACGAAACAAGGTACAGCGGAACACCGTGGCACTTGTTACTACTAGCAAACATTGTTACTACTAGTAAGGCACCTGTTACTGCTAGCGTGGCACTTGTTACTACTAGCTTCTTGTCCACAAAGTTAATGCGCCAAAAGGCCTTGTGGAGTATAATGAGCCAGCCGATTATGAATAACCTCAGAACATGGCACACTATGAGGCTACTGAATACATAGTTCCCTACTGTCTGTGCTACTGCTAGTTTTATATGGGATAGAATTAGTAGCAAAGGACGCTACTAGGGGCTCCTGGCATCGCTACTAGTAACAAGGGCCTACTAGTAGACATCACATCTCGGAGGTCACTTCTAAATTCTAATTAGATAGTAGCGATGCACTTGCTACTAGTAGCTTCTTGTTACTACTAGTAAGGCACTTGTTACTACTAGCGTGGCACTTGTTTCTACGTCGCATCACATCTCTGAGAAATCTCTGCGGATGGTCGATCAAGAGACGCCATGGGCGTCATGCGGCGCATGAGGAGCGCAAAAGCCTCGGAGGAGCTCAACGTCAGTAGTAACAGGTGCCACGCTACTAGTAACACCATGCTCAAAACATGAAAGAATGACAAACACCATGCTGAGAGGCTAACCGCCTGCTCTCAAGCAGTCTAGCATTCAGGCAATCTCAAAGCCCTGGTTCCGCTGAGTGACGATCTGTGGTAATTGGAGAAGTGCATAAAGCAACCAGTTCAGCCAGCTATTGGAGAAGGGAAAGTCCAGGACCTGTCCAATGCGTTCAAATCATTTAACCATACCTGACCTCAGGAGAAAAACTGGCAAGTCCAATTCCAATGACGTGACCCACCTGATGAATGCCAGAACATGCTCTCTGAAATCAACTGCACAAACAGGCATATCTGGATGTACCGAGGATGGGAGTCGAGATTCTTTAAGATACTAGTAACAGGGTGCATCACTGCTAGTAGCAAGGACGAGTAGCTAAGCGCAATACCAGTAGCAAGAAACTACAAGTAACAAGGGCATTACTACTAGGAACAAGAAGCTAGTAGGTTGGAGGCCATCGCTACTAGAAACAAGAAACTAACAAGAAGCTAGGGGCTCCTGGCCTTACTAGCAAGAAACTAAGAACACGATTCTTTACGCCCAAACGGCGTCCGGCCAGATGAACCGCGCCGAAGAAGGCCACGGTGCTCACGGCCGCCGCCCAGCTGCCCAACTCCGTCGCGGTCGCGCTTCGAGGTCGGGTGAGTACCTGCGGAGTCGAAGTCGGTCCGTTTCGACCGCTAGTAGTAACAAGTGCATCGCTAGTAGTAACAGGTGCCTTACTAGTAGTAACAATGTTTGCTAGTAATTACAATTCTAATTAAATGCTTGTTTCTAACATTGTTACTAGTAAGGCACTTGTTACTAGCGATGCACTTGTTCCTAGTAGCTTATCATTCTAGTTAGAATAGTTTTTGGAAGGAAGGACTAAAGATTGTTTAATCTTGTCAAAAAAGGCCTGCTTAACTGACGTTGGTGATGCCGGCTCTCGATCTATAAACCACAAACTGCAAAAACAGACAAAAACTATATTGGACACCGCAGGATTGAAAGAAAACCGCAGCATTTGCGAAAAAACAGCCACAGACTTTTAGGAGCGATCGGACGCTACGAACGGGGCTCCTGGCCGTACTACTAGGAGCAAGAGGACGCTACGAACGGAGCAAAGGGCATCGCTTCTAGTAACAAGTGCCTTACTAGTAGTAACAATGTTTGCTAATAGCAACAAGGGCCTTACTACTAGGAGCAAGAAGCTATTAGGAACAAAGGGCATCGCTACGAACGGAGCGATCGTACGCATTGGCAACTTAAATGCTGAACCACGCATACCATGCTTTCCAGCTACAGGTTTTGATATGTGGAGGCACACACACACACATCCTCAGGCCAGTCTTTTGCACCTGCTTGAGCCGGTTCTCCCTGGAGGGGTGTGGCAGCATGCATATTTCTGTGGCATTCATCGACCATGTCCTTATGTTTTCTGTCATTCTTGCTTTGATGCGCTGGCTGACCATGACAATTCATGCGAGTGAGCACTCCACCTACCTACCTCTCCAGTTCCTCTTTCAACCCCCCTAAGAAAGGATGCAAACTTTATAGCTTTGCCCAATGCAACTCGATGCCGCGTAGTGGTGGCTGCGCAACAATCCTTTTCGGCGTTAATGTTTGAAAACGCATCCCAATGTGGACATTCTGGCTGCGCGTCCATGCTTGGAAGAGCGGCCAGTCGAAGGCCTTGTTGGCCAGCTCACTACATCTTAGATCTGCAATGAATGTTTCTTGGCTCGCCTGGCTTGTTCTACATTTTCGAACGCAGCATAATGAGATGACAAAATGATTGGCTGCCTTTTCTCAAGCTCAACATGCCTAAGACGGCAGGAGGCTTGCGCGCCGTGCAAAAGGATGGACACCCGAACCTCCGAAGATGCGCTCCCAACATGGTATGGCAGTCGGTCATGGTGAAGTCGATTGGTTTTGCTCTCGATAGACCTCGATGGAAAATGAAGGCACTGTGTCCAGCCTGAGTGAAGTTGATCTGACACACCGTCGTTTTTCAATATCTACGCCGGTCTACGCCCAGCTTTCGCCAATCGCGCGCTGATCTTTTCAGCGTGCATTCCAAGGCTGGTGTACCTGATGGTCTTCATGTTGGTGCTTCTTGTTCCTAATAGCTTCTTGCTCCTAGTAGTAAGGCCAGGAGCCCCTAGTAGCGTCCTTGTTCCTAGTATCGATGCCAGGAGCCCCTAGTAGCGAACATGGTCTTCATGAGGATGTCGTGCTTCTGAAATGTGCAGTTGGTTCTGCGCGCGCGCTGGCCAAGGGCTTTGACTCGCGAGTGCTAGCGAGACCGCCCTGCTCACAAAGTTGGCCCAGAAGTGCCACGCGCGACTTCTGCGTGCCATTGACAGTCAAGGTCAAGTGGGGACGTACCTTCCTATCTTCAAGCTTCAGTGCGCAGTCACAAACGAAGACCGTCTTTTGTGGCACGTTTTGTTTGTATCAAACAGGCCTTTGTTTCTGTCTTGAACGGCCACATGCCAGTTTCTATTATTTTTCGGTGATGCGTTGAATTAGTCCTTCCTCAAGCCAAGACTGATTGGCTTGCGTTCGATCCCTTGAGGTCATCAGGAAAGAAACGGTTCAAAATGCGGCGCAAGGCAGAGTTTCCATCTGCCTGAAGGGCGCTCATTTCATTTCTGCACTCCTGATGGTCATTATGTCCGGCTTTCGGGCAGCTACAAGTTTCTATTAGCGATGGCCTCCACCCTATGGTTGCTGTAAAGTCGTGTTTCGCAGTTCCAACACAAAGCTGGACTCGGTGTCCAGCGCTTTCTTTCACACATGCAGCGTTGAAAGTTTGTTGCTTATTCCGCAGTACGAGGAGCTCTTCTGTATGGGTCCTGGCCCCTGTTAATCAGCTGTCAGCCTCATATCGGCTCAGCGCCGATACAGCTTTGCGCTGGGCGAATCAGAGTCGAATACGCGTTTTGCGCCCTTGCAAGGCGAAATTGCGCGAACTTCTGGTCTCTCATGGAAACCATTTTGAGCGTGCAGTAGGTTGGCTGAAGGGAGTCATCCATGATCTCTTTTCCAATGCTCTGGTATTCCCAGTGTTGAATTTGATCGTTGGTGTCCTTTTGTTTCCCTCAGTGGTTTCCACAAGTTCTTTTTCAACGTGGAACCCAGTTTTGGTTCATGGCTGCGCCTGTTCTAAGTTGAGAGGCAGGGCTGCGCTCTCGCAGCGCTTGAAAAAAACAAATGACTCTAACTCTATCCTTATTTAGCCCGTTTTCTCCCGGACAGTATACCTGCCCAGCGTGCCGGACACATTTCAGTTTCGTCTAGAGTCTAGTTTTGGTGCTGTGTTTGGTGATGGATCCTTTCCCTAAGTTGACCTGGATGTTGTCGAGTTCTGGAACAAGCAGGATCGGGAGAAGTTTAACAGTGGCAGTAAGTTGGGGATTCACTTCCTTGTGATGGCAACCTCTTTGCTCCACGCTCAGTGCAAATTGGGATCAAAAAATGTTCAAAATAATGCGAAATGATTGTCTTCATTGGACGAACCATTCGAGAGCGACAACGACAGCGATCGATGCAAACCACAGCGGCCGTGGTTGGCGCGCCTGGTTGACTGCAACAGCCAAGCAGCTCAGAGTTGCATAGGTCATAGTAGAAACCTCGAGAACAAAAGCAAAAAAAACACAGAAACATAGCAAGGAACCAGGGACCTTATTCACAGGGCCCTTCCGTTTTTGTTTTCTCTGGTTTCGAGCACGAGAGCAATACGGTTTCCTGAGGTGCTGTGATCGAGTCGAAAGAATTGTCCTCAAATTACATTGGAAACTTAAATGAACCTACAGGCGATGGCCTCCCGATGGCGTCCAACCAAATAGCGATGGCCTCCAACCTAATATTTTATAATGGTGGTGGCCCCCAACCAAATAGTAGCGATGGCCTCCAACCTAATAGTAGCGATGGCCTCCCACCTAATAAAATATAGTTGTGGTCCTGCCTCCAACTCCAGCCTACTAGCGATAGCCTCCAACCTAGCAATGGCCTCCAATGTAATTGCGATGGCCTCCAACCTAATAGCGATGGCCTCAAACCTAATAGCGATGGCCTCCACCTAATAGATGGCCTCCAACCTACTAGCGATGGCATCCAGCCCAATAGTGATGGCCCCCAACCTAATAGCAAGGGAAAATGGATGATTTTGATGATTATTTCGATATTTTACTGACTTTGATGTGTTTCGCACACACGTTTTCAATTTTACACCCAAAATCTGGTTTGTTAGAATTTGGTCAGTTTTCATTGAATTACCAAGGACCTACTGCCAACGCCCTCCCACCGACCCACGCCAATTGTCCACAGGACCATTTCTTCCATTGGCCCATACCAACCACGTATGGTCGTTGGCACCAACTTTTGATGCGTGATGGACAGGCCACACAATGCTCCTTTGCCACAGGCAGCTCAGTCATGGCAATTTGTGTATGACAGAGTCCATCTCGCCGCAAACTCGCAAAGGTGCTTTTCGCTCGCGTTGGGCACGTCAGCATCGCAGCGGGATATTTTGTTTTTAGAGGCAGCTCTCAGAATCCTTACTTCTCCGTGTGGGCACAATACTCAAATAGTGTATTTGCCCAAGTCTTGCTGCTGCTGCTGCTGCTGCTTCTGCTACTGCTAGTACTACTACTACCACCGCAACCGCAACCACAACCACTACCACCACCGCCACCACCACCACTACTACTACTACTACTCCTACTACTACTACTACTACCACGACTACTACTACCACGACTACTACTACTACTACTGCTACTACTACTACTACTACTACCACTACCACTACCACTACCACTACCACTACCACTACGACTACCACGACTACCACTACTACCACTACTACCACGACGACGACTACTACTACCACTACCACCACTACCACTTCCACCACAACCACCACCACCACCACCACTACCACTACTACTACGACTACTACTACCACTACTACAACTACTACCACCACCACCACCGCCACCACCACCACCACCACTACTGCTACTGCTACTGCTACTGCTACTACTACTACTACTATTACTACCGGTACCGCTACCACTACCACTACTACGACTACCAATACTACAACTACTACTACTACCACTACTACCACTGCTACTACTGCTACTCCTACTCCCACTCCCACTCCTACTCCCGCTACTACTACTACTACTACTAGTACTACTACTACTACTACTACCACTACTACTACTACTACCACTACTACTACTACTACTACGACTACCACTACTACTACTACTACTACGACTACGACTACCACTACTACTACTCCTACTACCTACACTCCTACTACTCCTACTCCTACTACTACTACTACCACTACTAGTAGTAGTAGTACTACTACTACTACTAGTACTACTTCTCTGTGAGCATTTCACTTGGCAAAACGTTGCGTCTGCGCCAGAATCCCAAACTACCGGAAACCAATGCTCTTGAGTCTGTATGGGTAACCATTCTCAGCTCTCCTCACTTGATTCTCCTGGCTCGTTTTCCTCCATCAAGAAAAATTGGACTGCCCTGATCACGCCACTGTCTTCGTCTAGTTCTCTCAAATCAAACACGAAAGGATCCAGCGAGGTTTGTGAAACGCGCAAAGAGGTTTGTGAAACTCTCTTGATGCTGTATCTATTGGCATTTGCGGTAGACAAAGCTGTTGCGCTGGCATCATCCTTTGCTGCTGTGGATTCTCAGCTACCTGTCGAACTCTCCAGCAATCTTTTGCCACGTGGCCCGGCTTGCCACACGTGTAACATACTTTGCCTTCGTCATCTCTGCAGGAAGATTGCTTCTCACCTGTTGCTTTGCCCCAGCCTTCTGTTCCAACTTTCATCGCCTTTCTTACCTGCGTCTCCTTTACCTCTGCCGCCTCTATTGTCCTTTCCTTTGCCCTTTGACTTTCCGTCCGCCGTCTTTCCCTTGTCTTTCTTCCCTTTGTCCTGCGCTCGATCGATATCCGTAGGCGCCAAACCTTTGTCATCCGAAGTCAGCGTCATAGTTGGTACCATTTCAATGTTGCCTTGTCGTACTCGAGGACTTTCTCTCTCAAAGTGACATAGCTTGTGGATTCTGAAACCTGCAGCTGTAGCCACGTTTTGATGTTCCCTGAAACACATGTCATCAACGCAGCAAATTTGATCTCTTCAGCCAACGTCGCTCCAGTCTTCTCATACTCTCGAAAGGCATGTTCTATTTTCACAAGTTGCGACAAAATATTCTTCTGCGTGTCAAATGAAGACCAGCCGAGTATAGCGTTGAGTATGCGGGGTCTAGTTCGGCTTACCGGCTCCAAGGAACTCAAAAGTTGCCTGCAGGCTTCAAATCCATTGCTTTCAGTGCCTGGCATGTGTGCGCGCGCGTGCGACCCAGGCGACATTGTTTCGTTAACTAACCTTTGCCGGGAGGTCAGAGAGTCTTGTCGACCGCTCGAAACCCTCTCCACCAGAGGCCAGGACCAATTAGTGAAGAACAATCAGCCGGCCTCTCGACAAACTTTGTGTCTCCCATCAAAGAGCTGTCAACTTCTGTCGACGGGTTCTTTCTCAAAGCTTCGAAGTCTGAAAGGTACTCGATATCAAGGGATGCTAAGTATTGTTCCATTGACCGTGCAAAGTCACGCCACATCGACAATTCCTCTTCTCGACTCTTAGGATGAAAAACTCCAGACTTGGGCAATGTCTTGCGCCAACTCTTTTCATCATGTCTTTGGCTCCGCTACTAGCTGCTGTGGATGCAGCTTCTGTCGCCATCATCATTCTCTTCGCCAATTCTAGTCCATCCATCTGGCCTGCGGCTCCACTAGGGCTTCCAGCTGGGCTCATCACCGGAGAACCCTCCGCACCAGCCATGGCGTCGCAATGAGCCTCACCCTTCCGGAGCGGCTCCGCTACCGAGAGCGGTCCTTTTGAACCTCAATGCGACCTGCGGTATATGTGAAACATGAGTTCATCTTAAACCCTCCGACAAAAAAAGCAGTAAAATAGCACATACCGATGGCGTAAAACCTACTAGGAATGGACCCCAACCTAATAGCTATGGCCTCCAACCCAGTAGCGATGGCCTCCAGCCTACTAGCGATGGCCTCCAACCTAATGGTGATGGCCTGCAATCCAACCTGACCTAACCAGCGAAACTTCCAGCCTGCGCGAAGAACAGCACGTCGGCCACTTTGTCCGTCGTCCTTGGGCAAACTGATTAAACCCGCAGGCAATTGTTGGAAGGAAGAAAAACGTTGCGAATCTGTTTACCGTCCGCATCTTTCTACGAAATGCACCCAAGGCACAACATCCATATTATGAAGGCCACAGCATAGGCTCCAAGGAAAACATTCAAGAATGCGCCAGGCACCTGCAAAGCTGTGAACAAAAAACATGAAGTACAGCAAACCCAAAAGAAACGCAAAGTACATCTTATTCGCCAAGCCTTTCTTCGAAACAGCAAATATGTAGCAAGGCCTGTCGGCCGGCCATGTCTCGAAAACAAAAAAACATAAACAAGCAGGCCTCCAACCTATTAGCAACTGCCAACTTAGTAGCAACGGCCTCCAACCCAATAGGGAGGGGGCGGGCAAACCACACCTGTTTGCGGCAGGATGCCCAATATCAGCATGCCCATGAGTCGTCCAGTGGGTGGCCTGGCAGCGCAATAGATTGCGATTGTTTGTGTCTGGGCAATGCCCAGGACACCCAAAGTCGGCATAAGCCAAACATTTATGATTGCCAGGCGTACTGAACATTTTTGATGCACCGGATGTTTCGACAAAATATCAACTCCCAAAGTCAAAAGAAACAAACAGGCCTCGCCTCAGCTCCAACCCTGCAGCAAGCTGCAAACAAAGATGAGCGAGATCCACAAAACCGCCTGTTTCAGCATCGCGCAAATGCAATCTGCGTGGCAGAAGATGCAAGCGCAATCTGCAAAAACAACAAAAACACCGCACTTCAGCAGTGGGGGTCTCCCTGGCGTGTCCCCTGGCCAAGGAACGCAGTGAACATGTGCATATTTGCGCTCTTGATTCTTGCGCCGTCGTGTCACGTGCTCATCTGGGCCGCTGCCTTGCTGAAATTGACCACAAGGGCCCCCTTACCTCCCGTTCCTAATTAGGAGATTCTAGACTTCCAACCTAGAAGCGAGGGAGATTATCAACCTAGAAAGTGAAACAAGATGAACATAGGAACAAAGGGCATCGCTACTTTTCTCGCTTTTGGTGCAACCGCCCGTGAGCCCGGTCGAGACGTGATCGACCGCTACCTTGTCTTGGCCCCATCCGTGGGTCGGTCTGTTCGCCCTCTCCATTCCGCGGGCGCAGGTCTTTCTCAAGCTACCGTCAAAGGACAACAAAAAAACTCACAAAACAAACAACGGGGAGACCAATCGCCACAAAAAACAACCAAATTCACGTCGCGCAACTCCATCAAAACGCCGCTCGCAAAATGACCGGAAGGGCCTACACCAACTCGTCTTGCGCACCGTCTCCGTCAAAGCCAAAGCGCAAGGAAAACCATGCCATGCGTCAGAGATATCCAGACCGAACATTCACACCCACACCTGGTGCATAAACAGCATCGCGCGCCCAGTTCGTCACATCATGCGGTATTACGCGGGCTGCGCTTCTGGGCGTGGCGCTCGACACTTGATTTGTGAGCGCTTCCGTGTCTGTGCCTTCAACTGCAAAACCTGGGTAATTTAATGCATCGCTACTAGGAACAAAAATTAAACTAAATTACAAAGCAAAATCAGTCAGCCTGCTTCGGTCCCTTCCAGGGTTCCGTTGCTTCGGAAGAAGCTCCGGCTGCGAAGGGCGCCACATCGACCGTACACCTGACAGAAGAACAACCGTTAAAGAAAAGTCTTTTCATAACAAATTAAAGGACCGGATAACCCCACATATGAATCTTTACGAATCTTAAGTTTCTAAAGCACAAAGCAGTCAGAGTCTCAAAAGCTTCTACAACATGGCCTTGTCAGGAATTACTATATCAGAATTACACAACAGAGGGGTGGGAGAGAGGTGTGGGAGAGTAATGTGCACGGCGGAAACGAGGTATTGCGCAGACATGTGTGTACAGCCACAACTAGCCGAAGTAAAACAATCTGCACATGGAGGAGCGCTGTGCCTGCCACGAAATCTGCACATGGAGCGTCACAAAGTGCTGCGCCTGCCACGAAATCTGCACATGGAGGGTCACAAAGTGCTGTGCCTGCCACGAAAACTACACATGGAGGTTCACAAAGTGCTGTGCCTGCCACGAAATCTGCACATGGAGGGTCACAAAGTGCTGCGCCTGCCACGAATTCTGCACGTCAAGAAACAAGTGAAAACTCTAATCACAATGAAGGAACGGACCGGCGACCACCGCATACAACCGCCGACAACGCAACAGCCAGAGCCTCTAACGGAGCACAAAGTGCTGCGCCTGCCACGAATTCTGCGCATGGAGGTTCGCAAAGTGCTGCGCCTGCCACGAACTCTGCGCATGGAGGTTCACAAAGTGCTGCGCCGGCCACGAATTCTGCACGTCAAGAAACAAGTGAATACTCCAATCACAATGGAGGGACGGACCGGCGACCACCGCAGAGCAGACAACAGCAGACAACCGCCGACAACGCAACAGCCAGAGCCTCTAACGGAGCATGGAGGTTCACAGAGTGCTGTACCTGCCCCGAATTCTGCGCATGGAGGTTCACAAAGTGCTGCGCCTGCCACGAAATCTGCACATGGAGGGTCACAAAGTGCTGTGCCTGCCACGAAATCTGCACATGGAGGGTCACAAAGTGCTGTGCCTGCCACGAAATCTACACATGGAGGTTCACAAAGTGCTGTGCCTGCCACGAAATCTGCACATGGAGGTTCACAAAGTGCTGCGCCTGCCACGAATTCTGCACGTCAAGAAACCAATCACAATGGAGGGACGGATCGGCGACCACCGCAGACAACCGCCGACAACGCAACAGCCAGAGCCTCTAACGGAGCATGCAGGTTCACAGAGTGCTGTACCTGCCACGAAATCTGCGCGTGATCTCTGTGTGTGTGTGTTGTCTCGGTGTGTGTGGTCTCTGTGTGTGTTGTCTCGGCGTGGAGGGAGGAGGCGGAGGCGGCGGGAAGCGGGCGGCGGAGAAAAGAAGAACCCCACACTAAGATGTGGGGAACGTGTGACGGACGCTGCTATAGGGGCTCCTGGCATCGCTGCTAGGAGCAAGAAACTACTAGGAGCTCCTGGCCTTAGAAGAAGGATGCTGCTAGGACACAACAACACAGCCTTCCTGCGCTGTGACCCTACCAGTGGGCCTGAAAGGTGAGGGCAGTGTCCATCTCACTCGTTCCCGATGCATTGAGATGCCTCGGACGCCCCCCAAAAAAACCTAGGACCTAGTAGCAAAAAGAAGCCCCCCTCTCACCCATCCTATCATTCAAGGAACTACAAGACCTAAAGCAGG